GTGTTATTGCAGTTTGTCTGGAATGATTGAGTTTCACTGATCATGTAAACAATACAATACAGTAAAACCCCTCTACATTTGACACTTTTAATTGGAACCGGCGAATATCCCATAATTTTACATGTCCACAATACCCTATATCTTGGGCACCACTTTATCCTGGAACTTGGTCAACTCTTTTGTTGTAAGTTGGACAGGTGCACGCATGCACTTAGCTACAATGTTTTTATGGGAAACGTTTACAGTTAGTATTTTGTTATTTTGAATTTCTGATTGATGAATGCCTTCTACCTGAGGATTACCTTATGGTTGGAAAAAAAACAACTAAGTACATGTTAGTATCTCGTCATCAGAAGACAGGCGGGCAAAATTATCTTAGGGTGGCTATTAAATCCTTTGAAAGGGTTACAAAGTTCAAATATTTGGGAACAACAATAACAACTATAGAAAAATAAATTAGTAAAATCAGTTCTCTAAAAGTCGTACCACCGCGTATTCTCGTGTGCTGAACATCGAATTCCTTATTTAGACGATGTCAAAAGAGAGAAAGTGTATAGAGCAGGCCTACACATAACTTCTTTACAAGTTCATCGGTAAAAAAATGTTCCAGTTTAGCAGACCGCACTAATATGATTCACATGGCTACTGTACGTTAGTGACTAGCAATTGCATTAATGTTATTATATAATACTCACCACATCTAATAACCCTTTCGTTATTATTCGGAAATATTACAAACGACGAATACCACTTTCCTGTCTGCTAACAATTCGTACACGCTGTCGGTATATCCATCTATGACCATTGATAACATTCCTCAGAAGATGGCTGTCTTCTGCGCTGATGCGCCGTGTAGTCTGTTAGAAGTTTGCCAACGTTTCAGAGGTCCCTGGTGCATCCATCATCAGGACGATCTCTATTATGTGAAACAACAGAGGTAGGGCGGGGAACCAGATCGTATCGTGAGCACGGTCAACAATTATAACGGCGCAGGGTACAGATTATCATGAACAGACTATCCTCAATGAAAAGTGCAATGATGGTGGCAGTATGGTTCTCCTAAACGTCCGTTCACTTGTACCATACCACACTGCACTGCAGCACAGAAGACAGCCATCGTAAACGCCGCCGCAAAAACCTCAAATCCTAATCATTATTACTTTGAGAATTTTAGGTTAAGGTAAATTCTTTTACGGAATTGAAAGGGGAAGGTAATAAATACTATTTCTGTGCTAAAGCGATTGAGCAGCGATATTAGTAATCTGTGCTAGCAGGTGTTGGTATTAGATTGTATTAGTATTGACGTCTGCATTGCGGCATTCGGTAGAGTGTGTTATTGCAGTGTGTATAAAGATATGTCCGGGATGGTGAGTTTCACTGATGATGTAAACAATACAATATTAACTTTTAAAATATGAAACGTCCGATAAATATATTAGAATCTAATGCAATTACTTTTGTGTGGGGTGTACACCCTTCAACGTTTTGTCAAATGAGTTCTCGCAGCAGCCAGGGAAATGTTTTTATTCTAAGTTTATAGTGCACTGTGCACATTATTGATCTTTTGAATTTGTTGTTTGTTTAAATATTTCTATTAACCATTTTATTATTACAGCGTATGAAAGCATCCCGTTGCCCTACAGATGAGCTGTCACTCACAAACTGCGCTGTTGTGAATCAAGTCGACTTTCCTGATGATGTAAAGTAAGTTTAAAAGAAACTGTTCTGTGCTGTACATATTTAACATTGCACTGGCATATCTGTCAAAATGTGTGATTTCTGTTTCATAGACACGTTGAAGTGAGTACGGGGCCATCACAGCACTATGTATTCAGAGTTCGGTTTCATTCTGAAGTCCCGCGTGGTACTGTAGGCTTCAGCTTACCTCAGAGAAAATGGGCAACTTCCCTTAATCAAGATATTGAAGTAAAGCCTTACCATTTTGATCCAACTTCCAGTTCAGAATGTCTTTGTACTATTGTCTTGGAAGCTGATTTCTTGCAGAAGAAAAGGTAAGTAGATCACATATACAGAATTTATATCACATCTAAGTAATAAAAACTGGGACTAAGTATTAAACAGCCATGATGTGGATTCAACACATTCCTAAATGTCTTCTTAAAAAGTTTTGAAGCAAGTTGCCTTACCAAAACAGTGAAAAAGTTATCTGAAAATAATGAGTGGATTACTAAAGGCATAAAAACCTCTTGCTGACATAAACAGGATATTTACCTGATGTGTCAGTCTAGTCAGAACCAAGTAATGAAAATTCACTACAGGAAGTTTTGCAAGATACTCAAATCATTCAAGAGTCTAAATGTATACATTACAGTAAACAGATAGTAGAGTCTAATAATAAAATATTACATTCTGAATAAACCACAACACGCATTAAATAATGATGTTAGTTACTATCCTGAACAGAAGCCATTAAAGATTTGTAAAGCAACAGTTACATATTTGAGGACTGCATTATGCCCTTGTCTGCTGCAGTGGTTAGCATCCTGAAGTAGGAGTACGATGGACAGTTCTCCAATTTGTGCATGTGCAGAAGAGGGTTCAGTACTAAGTTGTTGCGCTATACTAAGAGTTTTGTAGGCGCTGTTTCTTCGGTTTATTCATCAATGTCTTGGTCACTGTCTTCTTTCTGTAATACTGTAGTTACTCTAGATGTTGGAAAATTGTCATCAGCGTAAATGAGGTCTTTGTTTTTGGGAACATGTCGGAAGGTTTTTTATTTTGCTAAGTTCTAGCCACTCGGTAAAAAGCAGGTTCACCTTTCATGTTTTTGTAGTTTGTGACCAGATCTTCAAAATGGAACTGTTGATTGGGAAACCAGAATCCCATGCGCCTTAATCCATTCCAATAATGGTTCGTCAATGTCATCAAACCCACATTTTATCATATTTTTGTGTTGAGATTGTTCTTGAATGCAGATAACATTTGCTTTTTATTCTTCCACAAATTTGTTACTGTAGACAATAAGTTGCATTTTTTTACACAGTTTATCCTCCATATTCTAAGTCATGAATAATTTCAACTTTTGCACAAGCACTTTCTCGTGTTTGCAGATATGTTAATCATTCAAGGGTAGAATCTGTACTGATTGTGGGTTACCAACTAGGTTATTTACAGCAGGCTAGCCACAACAAAACCCATCCTTAATGGCACAGGCGTAGGTCAGAACCAATCTTAACTGTACCATTAAAAATATGAATAGTTGAAAAGTTTTCATAATGCAAAGAGCTCAAAAAATGTTCTTCCAGAGAAAGGAGTTGTACTCATTTGATATGAGAAATTTTGTGCATAAATTTAGGTAAATTAAATGTGAAGTGAAATTTCTTTGCTGGAGCCATGAACTTGTTATAATTGAGTTTTACTGTTTTTATTACTTTCTGAAACGAACAGGTAGATCACATCCAAGAAGAATAGAAAAGAGACTAATCACTGTAGAATCTTTGTTCATATGTTCAATCCATTCAAAGCTCCAGTGAAAGGATGATTACTGCTGGAATTCTATAGATATTGATGCTGTGACCAAAATTTATATTGGCTTCCATTCACAATAATATAATCATCTCCGACTTCCATAGTGTCTACAGCCTACTTCACTGCTTCATTTCAAACAGTTGGCACAATTAGCTCCTACTGAGTTTCTGTTCTCTTCATCAAAGTTCATACCATTATTATAGAAAATTATATTCTATTGATTCTGTTGAGAGAAATGCAGTTTTCTGCATATTTTCACTATCATAACTGAAATGTAAATGTCAGTTTCTGCTTCCAAACTTCAAACTTCCTTTCCCCCATCCTCTTACCCCAAGAAAAGTAAAAACACGTGACATTGTTCTGCAGGTAAAATTTCGGGTTCTCACAGTGATGAATTTGAAGAAGACTGCCTTCTGGTTGTTGTGTTGTGTAGTCTGGTATAAATTCCCTGGCTCTGAAATGTTGATAAACTTCTACCAGACCTCACAGTACGACATCTTTGAAGGTGGTCTGTTATCTTCATGATGTAAGTCTACTTCTGTATTCAAAAGTCTGAGTATTGCTCTGGAATACTCCCACTGCATCATCCCACTCTTTGCCAGCTACAAACACATCTTGTTGCAAATTATAAATATAAAGAAGTCTGGCGTAATGCCGCTGGACGTCACAGCAGTATAAATCAGATGACAGTCATCTTTGTACTCACTGCCATGAGAACCTCAAATCCTGCTATAAATGACACGATGTAGACCAGAACATCTAAGGAGCCTGTAGTCTGTTCCCTCTGTAAACGCATGCATGCATGCATGATGTATAACTTGTTCTACATTCAAATCTTGCAACAGTGATGTAGTCAAAGGTTCCCCCCTAATCTAAAATCCATGCACCCTCCCCTTCATCACCTTACTGCTGGCACATTCGAGAAGCTATCAGTTGTTCAGCTAGTTGAGTAATGCCCTGCCATTTATTGTCGCTGAATGTTTATTACTGTTTCCTGAAGACCCTGCCACTGGACCTTACCAGTCCATACACCCACTGGGATACTGGGAACGACCCATTCTTCAAGTGCCTCGGCACTGTGGCTCCGAACTTTTCGTTGGCTTGATCTATAGACATTTGGTAGGACTCCTTGGACGAGGGATCGGCCCGTCGCAAGGCCTCTACCTGTACACAAGACAGCACAACATAGGAAAATGCGGACAGACATCCATGGCTTGAGTGGGATTTGAACCGACGGTCTCAGCGACCAAGCGGCACAAGACCCATGCCTCAGACCGCACAGCCACTGTGGACCCCCACACTCCCACATCCTAGTTTTTCTAATTCATCTTAATAACGTCCTCCAAACTGTGTCTAGATCTCCATGTGGTTTCTTCATCTCATATTTATGACGTACTTTCTATATGCATTTGTTCAAGTTGTGTGCCCCACCAAATTTATCCTCTCTGATTTAATCAATCCACAAAGACATGGAAGAAGGTTCAAACATTCTGAGCCTCTCCACTCGGTGGTAGTGATCAGTTACATTGAGCCAAGAGAAGAACTTGCATCAGCTACTGGATTATATTTTTAGTGCTGCTCTGGAAATGACTGGAAAAGTAACAGTTCTCACTACCTTTGTCAGGGAAACTGTAATATAGGAAATGTTATTAGTCGCACACTGATTAAATTAAATTGTTGCATTATTCTGAGCTGTTCCTGCAGCTATAAGGTCTGACCCAGAAAACAGTTTTCCTGGTGCCTTAACCTTGTCAGAAAATTCCATTTTAAGGTAATAATTTTTAGGCATTGAAGACAGGAGGAGTATTTTCTAATCTTGACGACTAGACATTTTAACTTTGCTGACTTCCTGGAGTGAATGTATTTATGAACTTTCATCTACGTGTATGAACAAGACAAGGTAAAAATCTTGGAACATTTATATTAAATTTGCTTGTTACCTACTTTATTTAAGTTTGTACTTTCTGATATGTAGTGATGTCTTTCAGACTTAGTGAGTTACATCAGATATGACCATGTTTGTGAGTAGAAGGGCCAATAACAGAAGTTGCCATTGCCAATGTTTTATTCTTATTGCTAACATTTTAAATATTGGAAGGTAGGTGTAGTTTCCATTAACACAATGAGGCTAAATGAACTGCAAGAGACTGACAAATTTTCCCAGTTGGTTTACTGTTTAAAAATTTGTTTACAAGAATATTTCAGAATGCATAATTTGCGATACAGGAGGGCCAGTGCATTCTCAGTACATCCTTTTTGTGAGAATTCTGAATTGTGCATACGTATATCTATGCTAGTTGTGTGTTTGTAGTGTTTTAATAATGAAAGAGTTGTGTTTTATTATTTGTCTTCTGTGTTTTGTAGCACTACTTTAGAGCCTTATGATACAGATCAGATGGCAAAGGAATTTCTGCTGCAGTTCTCAGGTCAAGCTTTTACAGTTGGCCAACAGTTAGCATTTAACTTTGTTGACAAGAAACTGCTGGGTTTGGTTGTCAAGAGTCTCGAAGGTAAGTCTTCACGGAGGGCCGTGATGATAAACAAAGTTGTAAAAGTTTACAGTGTGCACTTGTCAGGCATGTTTAGCAGAAGGAATTAAATGATTTGTATGAACAAAAATAAACTGACGTGAAACTGGCTCACTTTAAGATGATCCGTGGAAGTAATACTCTTTATTGAATTGCAATGAACTCTTACCTTGTATGTGTAATAAGCAAGCAATAAATTTACATTCAGCTGTTCACCATTAGTTGAAATTTATCGAATTTGATGAGAAATTAGAACTGTATAATGCATGAAAATTAAATGTAGATATTTTTTTAATATGTGCGTCAAGTCATATTGTAATAGAATGTATAACAAATCTGTTTTCAGTGCAGTCTAAACTCAGTCATGATTTTATTTTGCTTTTCCCATAATTGTTTCTTGTGTCATTCTGCTGAAAGAACTCTAGCATTGGTTTTAGTGTACAATGATCTATTGTGATAAGATTACATGAATAAAATGCTGTACTGTTTATGAATCTCAGTCATTAAAGTTGTGTCCTCAAAAAGAAAATTGAAATTTTGTTAACAGTTTTTCATAAAACTGTCCAGAATGATATTTATTCAGATTTGGTTTCTCCATTCTCAAGTTTTTTCATGCGTATGGTCAGATGGATGAGGCGACTGTAATAGGTTCTTTATGAGTTCTGTATGTGCCTAAAAGGTAGAGTCAGTTGAAGTGTGTGCCCTGTCTCCATAAATATAAGGGCTACCATCTGGTGGAAGAACTTACAAAAGTAACTTTTATTTTGATGATGTTCTGGGTTTTTGTGCTATATAGACGAGTCTGCATAGCGCTAAACCCAGAACATCATTCTCACTGCTGTGGAAGTAATTTCTGCTTTCGATATTTTTAGTCGTGTACCACTCTGAATAAAATACTGATATTGATCCCCAAAGGAAAATTGAAATAATCTCTATTTTAATTTAAGAAATAATATGTGTGCTGAAGATGTCTTCTGGGTTGTTGTGCCGTGTAGTCTGTTAGTAGTTTACCAATCCATCATCAGGGCGGTTGCCCTGATAATGGACGCTTCTAGGACCTCTGAAATGTTAGTAAACTTATACCAGAATATACAGTGCAACGAACCAGAAGACAGCCATCTTCAGTTTCACCGCTGTGAGAACCTCAAATCTTGCTTAATATGTGTGCTGACTAATTTTCAGCTGTTGATCTGAGTGCTATCAAAGCTGGTCAGGATGCAAAACCTAAGAAAACTAAAATGGGACATTGCCTGGGAGATACAATGGTGCAGTTTGAGAAAGCTGAAAATTCATCATTAAATCTTGTTGGAAAAGCGAAAGGGTAAGATTTCTTTTATACTTTGAATCTTACATAATTGTTTCATGGAACATTGCTGGACGAACGAAGAATGAAGTGGTTTTAGAAATTATGCTTTTCTTTGTGAGACATTAAAAAGAATAAATTTGGCAAAGACTCTTATTGATTTTTAAAAGGCATGTGGTAGTATAAATTGACAGGAGATTTAGAAAATATTACCCATGGCAAATGTATCCAAAGGACTAATGGGCGTGACAGATATGGAAACAGCATGTTCATAGATGGTAAAAAGTCTGAAAGTTTCCAAACATTTAGAGGGGATAGGCATAGAAGTGTTTTATATCCTGTGCTGTTCAGCAAGTTGACAGACGAGGCAACAAGGAGAATAAGAGGAGGAAAAGAGAGTGGATTGGCAAAATGTGAGTTATACACAGACAGTAATTAACATTTGTTATTGATATTTTGTTACGACTACTTTGCATGAAGTGCATGCACTGCTTGTGTCCTTCCATGTAGTTGATTCCACTTCAGAATCACAGGATAGATTGGGATGAAATTTGGTATGGAGGTTGTACCATTCTGCACAACCTCAAAATCATACTCCTGAATATTCTATGAGCAGCGATAACAAAATGAAAGTTGAGAAGTCTTGAAGTGGACATCAACGTGCTGTGATCTGGTGGCCATAGTGAGGACTAGCAACATCTGAATTTATTTGTTTGCCATGGATACCATTGCTGACAATTGTTATGCATTCTTTGAATATTTACTATGGTTTGATCAGGTTAGGACAGAGTAGTTTAGTTTTTCTTCCTGTGAGATTTAGTATAATGTTGTGACAGCAATGTCTTATATTATGAATTCTTTTTCTATGTATTTACAGAAAACTGCCTCGGGAATCCATTATGAATCAAGACTGGGATTTTCTGAATATGGGAATTGGTGGTTTGGACAAAGAATTCAGTGACATCTTTAGTCTGGCTTTTCAATCGCGTGTTCTTCCTCCTGAAACTGTTGAGCACTTAGGTGTGTAGAAGGATTCTTCTTGCAAGTTTTAAATTTACGTATATTTTATCGAGATATTTAAATCATAGCATTTTAGAGGAGATAATTATATTATTATTATTATTATTTAGTGTTCTGTCTGATGACAGGTCCATATGGACAGGATCCTTCCATCCTTTTCTCGGACTGGGATCTGTTCATATACGTTCTTGGTAGATGATCCAGAAGTGGTTTGCCATTGCCTTCTTCTGTGTGTGAATGGAGTAATTGTTGGGGTGCTACGGAGAAACCGTGGAAGCCCCCGGAGGAAAACTCCGTGTTGCCTAGACCACGGCCTTACCCAACACAAGTTATAAATTCGGGCACCGCCGGGAATCGAACCCGAAACCCAGGATTACAAGGCCAGCGTTCTAACCGTTAGTCTTGTAATCCTGGGTTCCGGGAGATAATAGGAAACATAAATGAAAGATGTGCCTTTGTGTCTAAAAGTTCACTCATAGGTGCGGATAGCCTTACAAGCTGATGCACCTCTGAACATAAGTACACACACACACACACTTATCTTTGTAAGACTTGAGGTTCTCACAGCGGTGAATA